CCCCATCCCCCTCCACGAGTGTATCTTATAAAGGAGTGCTATACTTCACAGCGCTCAGACCGCCGGTACTCACAGGTTCATTGACCGGTCACGAGGTCGATCCTGTCAAGACGCACAGCGTTCATGATGCACAACCTGCATGTTACAAATGTTGCGTTATCTATCAGACTATTACCGGAAAATTTCTGGGCGGTAACGAAAGCAGATCTTGATTCTTCCCGATCGAGCCTCGGTGTCACACATACTTCCGTCACAGCGGTTCAATTACATTTCCTCTTTAGGATTCATCAACCATACAGTCTAGATAGCGGCACATTACACAGGCCCTATACTTTCCCGACTTACCGACCCATCACAAAATTCCCGACCTCCCGACCCATCTCAAAATTCCCGACTTTTTCCCGATTTCACGACCCTGTGGGGACCCTGGAGGTGGAAAGAGTTGGCGAAGGGAATGTGGTGGCGAACGATGGGGTCGGCAGGGTATAATTATGCTATTAGATTGAGAAGAGATCATTAATCATGTAACGCCTTGCGTGGAATCTGAGTTAAGAGTACAAATTAAATTCATAGTATACCAACGTACGCCTAGAGAGCGGTCAAAAATGCACGGCGCAACTTATTGTGAAATACCTCCTTACCTATCGAACATAGATTCTCCAACTTTTGCACAGTGACTTATATCAATTTGTCTTAACAGGTGAATATTTTTTCAAACTTCTGCACACTGTATTCTAGAAAATTCCTTAATAAATACTAATTAAAAAATCCCAGTCGATTGTTTCTACGAATTAAAAATTTTTTACAGCTCCGGCAATATTGCTTTTAAAAGCAAGTCTGTCATTTTTTATCCAATCGCAATAGTATGCATGCTTATTGAACGTATGTTTAGGAAACCTTTAGAGTAAAAAGAATGTGTTCATTATATAAACATTTTTGTATGAAGTTTTGCCACTAAAAAGTGTCATTGGCGAGCTATGACGTAGGCCATATATGCGTTTGCAAAATGTGTGCGAGAAGCGGGAAGTGCTATGAACAATCACATTTTTCGCGTGATGGAGGCCTAGTACTTTATATACATTTATGAAGAAATATTTTTTGATCGAGCCTCAATTGTTATGGAAAAATATGATTCAGTTAAAACATTTTTTAAAATACAAACTGCTGTGCAAAGTATGGGTGACATTGATTCTCCCGAGATATTTGAGGAAAAGTTGCGCCACGAATTTTTGACCGCACCATAGTTACACGACACCTGCGCGCAAAAGTAGTCCAGTTATACTAATGTTGTTTTATTATAATATTAATGTATAGTATAGTATAGTATAGTATAAGGTTTTACGGCGCTCGCAACTGCTAAGGTCATATGAGCGCGCGAAACACAAGTTGT